GCCTCCCAAAGGCGCGGGATTACAGGCTGAGCCACCGAGCCCGGCTCATTTTTATTTTTTTATATTGACTGCATGTTGACAGTGATAATATTTTGACTATATTCAGTTCAGTAAAGTATTAAAATTAATTCCATCTGCTTTCCTTTTCTGTTTTCTTTTGGAGACAAGTGATCCTCCTGCCTCAGTCTGCCCAAGCACTGGGATTATAGGCCCGGGCCAGTCTGCCTGGCCTCTTTTTACCTGTTAATGTCGCTAGCAAAAACATGTAAATTATATTACGTGGCTTGTATTATATTTTTCTAGCACAGTGCTAGTCTAGGTCCTAGAGATACTTCCGTTAACAAAACAAACCCTGCTGTCACGGAGCTTAAATTTGATAGAGACAAAGTAAAAAAAATAAGCAAGTAGATATGCAGTGTATTTGACGGTGGCAGGTACTCTAGAGAAAAATAGAGTGGATCAAATAGCTGCTGTGGTCAGGGAATGCCTCTGATGAGGTGCTGATAGTTGAGCAAAGACTTGAAGTCAGGGAGTAAGCCTGTGACTGTGTGGAAGAACAGCTCATGCAAAGACCCCGAAGGAGGAACACACTTGCCTTATTCAAAATCTAGCTCAAGTTTCAGCTCCTGCCACATCCAGTTGGTGATCCTCTCCCTCCTCTGGCTTCCACAGCCCTTGGTTGATAACCCGGTTGGCACTGTGGTTGAATTTGCTAAGCTCTATCTCCCACGAGTGGAAACGCCTTAGAGCAGTAATTCCGTCTGACTCTGCACCTTCTCCTCTCCTCTCCTTGAGGTCTCTAACTCCTTACACAGTCTTGGCGCCTGGAAGGGGCTGACTGAAGAAGAAATGAGTAGGAACCATCATGTTCCCTGTGCTGTTCTGGGAGGAGACAGGCTGTTTCTGCTTCCTGTAGTTCATGGCAAACAAGCGTCTTTGCATGCAGCTACTTCTGGAGCAGAACAGTACCTGTACAGGACACACACTGAGGGTAAATCAGGAAGTTTAATGGAGGGAAGAGAAGTCCTAATGGTCAAATCGTTGCAAATCTACCACAGTGTCTATTCTCAGAGGTGGATAAAGTCCCTTTCTCTTATGACATAAATTGCTTTTTATTTTATTTTTTATTTATTTTTTGAGTTGGAGTCTCACTCTCGCCCAGACTGGAGTGCAGTGGCCGCTCCCGGCCACCGCAG